TGGTCTGGGGGGGGGCGGGCATGGGATCATGGAAGGGGGGCTTCTGCAGGGTTGGGTGGTCTTAAGGGGGGGTGGCCATGTCCCACTGAGAGCACACAACCCCTCTCTCATTTTGCTGTTTTGTGTGTTCCCGTCTGTCTGTCTGCAGGTTGTCCGGGCCATCAACTCCCTGCTGCTGTGCAGTCATCCAGCTTCAGGACCTGGAGGGCACCATTGGTGGCTTTGCTGTCCTTGGGGCTCCCCAACTGCGCAGGAGCAATCGATGGCATACACATCCCTATCCGGGCCCTGGAACATTGAGCAGCCCAGTTTGTCAACAGAAAGGACTACTTCTCCATAGTCCTGCAGGCTCTGGTGGGCCACCGGGGCCACTTCACAAACATTTACGTGGCTTGGTTGGGCAGGGCTCATGATGCCCGAGTCTCCGGCCTGTGTGCCCAGCTGCAGGCGGGCACCTTTTTCCTCCACCGGGAGTTTCCGGTGGGCGACCAGACTATGCCAGTGTGCGTAGTCAGGGATGCAGCATACTCACTCATGTCCTGGCTGGCCAGCTGGATCGCACCAAGGACATTTTTAATGCGCACCTCAACAGAGCCCGCCTCCAGGTGGAGTGCATCTTCAGATGTCTGAAGGGAGGTTCCGCTGCCGCCTCACCCGCCTGGACGTCGGGGAGCAGAACATCCCCGAGGTGGTGACAGCCTGCTGCGTGTTCCACAACTTGGTGGAGCACAATGGGAAGGCCTTTCTCGCGGGGTGGGTGGCAGAGGCCGCCCGTGAGGGATGGGGCTTTGAGCAACCCCGGAGCTGCCACCCACCAGGCCGATCAGGCCGAGGTGCTCAACCAGGAGTCCCTGAGGGGGAGGTTCTCTCAGGAACCACTGTAAATCTCCCCATGGCCTCCACAACAGGGGGGGGCCTTCTCTCTTCCTTCTCTCTCCCTTTCCTGTCTCACTCCCTCCCCTTGCCCCTACTCTGGCTGCCCAATAAACACACCTGCTTGGTTTTCAAACAAAATTAGTCCTTTTCTTAATTAAACAAATGAGCATGGGTAGGTGGGGGAGGAGGGCTGTCTCAACTTGAAGGGGGGATCCTGCCTGGGAGGAGTGTTGGGACAGCTTGCTGAGTGCCCTCGGGTGCGGGGATGGTGTCAGGGTTGGTTGGGTCTGGGGGCCCCAGTAGGGTGAGCAGGAGGGACAGCTGGAGCAGGGCCAGGGTCAGCAGGAGGGGCTGTAGGCATGATTGGGGGGAGGAGGCATGGCCGTGGGGAAGGGAAGGAGCAGAGGCGTGGCATGGGGAGGGAGGAGAGGCATGGCAAAGTGGCCAGACTGGTGGGCCATGGGTATGGGTGGGGCAGAAGGTTGGAAGCAGCAGCAGACGCCTGTTCCCCCATGCAGGACAGGATGCCACACATGGTGTCACAGCGCGCCATTAGATAATTCCACACCT